AAATCTGAGATTTGCCATAAATGAGTTCAAAAAATCTACATCTCCAGTTTATATCAAGTAGATATTTTATGGAAAACGAGACGCAATTCAGGGGAACTTATCATGAATAAGGGAACGCAAGTGCAATAAAAGACGCAGGTGAGTCATTTATAGCAAATCTCGGTGCATCGTACGAGAGACAAAGCAATTGATGAAGTTATTTTGAATCAGAAACCACCCTTAGACTCACGCACCTCGAAACAAATTACTGCCACGAGCCAAGTGACTCCCCTAACCCCTCTAATTGAACCAATCGAAAAACTCGAACGCTGATTCCCATATTGCAGTATAATTGTATATGATATAACAAAACACACTCATGGCCGCATTCAGACAAGAGAAAGGTGAGCGAATTTTTCTATTGAATACCTTAAATGCTATTTTAATATTCCCAAATTAGCAAGGCCGTTTACAACGCTTTGATTTTGGCGTTCTTAAGTTAATAAGTTCGAAATGACCAAACTCGTGAACAGATCACACTTCTTCCTATTTACGAAGCTCAATTTTTTAGTTCTTTTATTTTAAATCTCGAAGCACGGAGAACACGTTTTATTTATCAACACAGGCCAGTCACTTATGAATCCATAAAAATAATAAACTTATCGATTCGTGACACTTTTACATGCTGCAAGACATCACAATTCGGTTGGCTATTCAATCTTTCTCAGACTTTTGTTTCGAGCCATAGAGTTGCAGATTACTAAGTACGGGTGCCTTTTATTCGATCGCAATATTTTGGATTGCCTATAAGTTGCTCAGTTTAAGTCATATCGTCCTTTTTGTAATCATTTCAAGATTTGTCAAACCGCAGGTCAAGCGTCCTCGTGCCATTGGCCCAGCCTTCCAAGTCTGCTTACTATCTCGTATTATGGCTGTGGAAGAAGTGGTGTTCGGTTCGGATGTGCAGATTTTGCTGCCTGTTAAAAAACTGCCTAAGAGTGGCCCTCGTTACCTCCCGAAGAAGAGGAAAATGCCAAAGTGGCTGCAGAAGGAGTTGAGTACTCACTTCAATGTTGGTTACCTGTACTTTGATTTTACTCACTTTTGGAACTGTTCGTGCTGCAAATTGCTCCTTTCTGCTCATAATGAGCATTTATTTATCAATAGCCGCGACCCTGTGAAGTCTCAAGGCATTGGCGTATCACTATTTTGAACAAATTACCTCTAGCAGAATTGGTCATATTTATTATTATCGTAGTAGCGCATCTCTATTTCCTTGTTGGTCTCATACCAAGTTCCCTGTAATTCTTGCGGAAATGGTAGCTTAAGTATCTGCTAGGATGGGGCATTGGCTTTGATATGGGTAGTGGTAGCCTTAATAGCGTGGTTCCTTAAAAAGTTGTATTTTGTAAAAATAATGTCTTAGTCATTCCTCCTTTCTTAGCTCCAAGCCTTCTCTGGATGAAGTTTGTATCTCAGGCGAAGCCCTTTGGAAGGAAAGCAGCGTCCCCTCCCACAGTTCGTATTTTAGCAAACCAAATTAACTCATTGTGAACCAAATAAAGTTTTTCTTTACTTTATTTTCTTCCTATGCATTGCATTCTCCCTTAGTGTCCATCTGATGGCTTGTTTTATTTCAGGTGCACAGCAAGCGATTTGATTTTGCGAAAAACTATTGCAATCATGTTTTGCATACTAACGAGAGGTTTGTCTCATTTGTTTCGTCAGCGTCTTTCATCTTTGTGCAACTCTGTTACGTTTATATCCGCCACATTCTCCTCCAAGGTTCGCTTGTTTTCTGCTGCTAAATATTTTGCGAATAGGCCAAATCCCGATCCGGCAACTCTCCCACGACAGCCCCTACGGTTGATGTTTGGGATGGTATCAAGATATCAGAACTATCAAAACTGACTGACCGTCCTGTTAGTAGTATTGTCCACTCCATCAATAGTGGTTTGTTGGGATCTGTTCGAGTAGGTGCCGCAACCTCGATTGAAAATCGAGAATTGCTAACCGGACTCCTGTCCCTTTTGGGATTCAGACCCAACTTCATCAATCGAAAGTCATCCGTGGGAGTCAAAAGGAGGTCTATCATGGACGGGTTTGACGTTCATCCCAGGTACCTTAATCGTGCCCTAAATTTGCCACTTTTTACCTCCTCTTCAAGTTATCTAATCTTTCTTGGCCAAACAATCAAGCAGATCAAACCCTAGTTGCCTATAAGGCTTGATTTTGTGCTTCTTGTGCATGCCACAATTCTGGGCTTAGTTGTCTCATCTCATACGCTTGTCAGTAGAATCTTGTGTTGGTTTAGTATTTTGCGTATTTGAATATTTGATTTTTTGCGTACAGAATGAATTCCAAGAGGAGTTTTTCTTCAATTTGGAGATTTTTATGGGAATTGGGTGGCTTTGAGGCAATCAATTTCGGTTTATTTAGTTGCGCTGGGGAAGTTTACTTAAATGATCAGCTGAATACTTCCCACTGTGCCGAAAACTCTCCAAGAGAAAAAGGTTTGGCTCTTATTCAGACCCCTCTCGAACTCAACGTGTTGGGTACCTCGACCACCAGTGGTGACAGTAATGGGCCACGTGGATCACGGCAAGACAACCCTGTTGGACGCACTTCGCTCCTCACGCACTGTGGACAAAGAGTTTGGCGGCATCACTCAGCATATATCTGCTTTTTCCATTTCAGTAGCCGAGGCTACTGCCGCAACAGGTGGCGTCAGTGGTGGTGAAGGGAACGGAGATATCATCACCTTCATTGACACACCTGGCCACGCTGCCTTCTCGGCTATGCGGGCACGCGGTGCTAGAGCCACCGACATAGTCCTCCTCGTGGTCGCCGCTGACGATGGTGTCATGCCTCAAACTGTTGAGTGCATCAGATTTGCCAAGGAATTTGGCGGTTAGTCTGTTTCATAGGCCTGGGACATAACTCTGCGCATAAGACTTTGTACTAATGCAGAGTATTTGCTGCCTCAGTGACTATTCAATGCCGACGAAATTGATTGTGTGGATGTGAGTATGACTTGTCACGTATAGTATCTCTTTGATTAAACTGTCTTGCACCACAATGTTTGATTTCGTTCACTGTGTCCCTATCCCCGGATGCCAATTTTGCTGCAGCCTTGGGATTGAAGTTACCGCTTTCGAAAATTGTTGCACTTACTAACTGGTCTTCGTTCAAAGATTCCCTTATATCAAATGAGTCTAGTGGGCGCTGATGTTCTGTCTTGTGTTAAGATTGGTTTTCTCATTGTTGGCTCTTCTCTCGAGCTACAGGCACTAAG